AACGTTCCCTTCAACAGGTTTCTGAGTTAGTACTATGCTACACGCTTATATGAACATGGTGTGTTATTTTATATATATTTGTCATGTTTAACTTCAAAAAATGCAAGCTCTAATAAGATCTTTTATGTCTGCAAAACAAGGGAGTTTTAAAGGATTATTTTAAGATTAATAACTAAAAGAAAATCACTAGAATAAACTAATAGACCAGAATAAACTAATAACTAGAATAACTAAATAAAAATTTGGAAAGAAAATTTAGAAATTTATTTTGACTAACAAACCAAATATACTTCAGCTATACTAAGAAGTTGAAAAAAATTTTAGGGGATGAATTTACAGAAATGTATAGAATGTTTATAGTATATAGGAACAAATATTTGTTATATCAGCAAGAGAAGAAACTGCATAAAGACATCACTGACAGATTAAAATGTTAATATTTTAAACATCTGTACTGTTATAGAAAGTAAAGTTATTAACAAAATATTTCAACAAACGAGGCAAAACTTAAAGGCAAGTTAAGAGTTCCTTAATTTAAAATAATTCTTAACCACTATTAAATAAGTGGAGAATCTTACAGCAACACATAATTTTTTAGGAAAGACCTACAAGATTGGTGATTGCTTCTTTCTTCAATTTACTACTTCTGGGTTTTAACTTTCCCAAGGCTACTTGCCTTCTAATAGAATTAAAACTAAAGAACCACACTGGGAGTAAGAAGACATAATTTCTGCATTATCTCATTTACACAGCTTCAGATTTCATCCACCCATTAAGGAGGGAAGTCAGTAAATACCGCCCGTTCTTGCCATCAATCCCAGGAGAAAGCAGCCCTATCATTTTGCATAATGTTATGTTTATGTCTCTTCCATTTACCTTGGCAAGAGAGAATACTCTTGTGAAGGGGGATGACCACAAAGATCACTTCAAGTCCCTGACATATTAAAAAAGACTCTGTCCATAGTTATGTCCTTAAATTGGATTAACCAAAAAAAGAAATCACAGTAGTGTTTTATTTCATTATCTCATGGATTATGCTAGCATAAAACCATTGCTTTGTCCTTCAGAGGAAAAGTTAAATTACAGTGATTGTGCAGAATGAACCACCAAATTATACCTCAGAATTCAGAACTCCCCAGGAAAAAAAGTTAGCCTTAGGTAAAAAGATAAAATTATGAAATGCTTATTGAATAAAATTTAAATATTAAAATATAAATTAACATTAATCACAAATAAACACATTTTGTTTCTCTAAGATTATCAATAGTGGTATTTACAATATAGAAAAAATGTATCTTCATGATTGATAAATTATATATCAATTCATATTTCACAAATGTATGTACAGAACACATTGAAATATGAAATATTTTATAGACTAATTTTATTTTAATGCCATATCAACATTTCTTTGAATGTAGTACACTCCATGCTATTAAATTATTCCTGATAATATCCATATCTACAGTTACCCTATTTGAGTAATTGGAAGAGATGAATTCACATGCAGTTGATCTAAGTCATCCAGGAAAGTATTATTATATCAGTGTTGATGTTCAGTGAAACGAATTAGGCGATCTCGCATTTATCTGTAAATGAAGGAGACGCTACAGGGGAAAACTCCCACTACATTTTTATTTTTATATTGTTTCTCTCTCATTGCCAAGCACAAGTTATTGTTATTCTGCATGCCCTAGAAGTGAATGTATAGGTGCACATGAATTTATTATGGCTGGGGTGGGTGGACCGGAAAGGAGACAGGTGGAAGGATCAGGGTGGAATAGTGAGGCTCACGATGACAGAGGATATAGTCAACAGTCAATAGGTCAGTTGTGGAATATTCATGGGGAGATAAGGCTTGAGTTTTGACAGTAAAGATCCATTTATTATTGATAATATTTTAATATATTATATTAATAATATTTATTGGTAATAAATTAATATCACTTTATTCTTTTCATACATTGACCAAGGATAGACTAGGCAAGAAGTTAGCATGAGGAATGCAAAAGGGAAGATGCTGAAAGTTTAATACACTTTAGCAAGTGTATGTGAACACGCAAGCGAAAGTTGGTGACAGAGAACCCGTGTACAGATTAGACTTTACAACACCTACAGGAGAAGTCATCTGCATGACAAAGGTAAAGCGCAGGAGCACTGAGCTTCAGCAAGAGGGAAAAAATATTGTATAAAAGTGCAGACATAACAGAATGGGTTTTAGAATAGTACAGAAATTTTGGAACAGCAGAAAGGAGTTTATCAGAGAGGGGACCTTGGGAGGAAACTGGAGAACCAAGACCAAGATTCTGGCACACGGATACAGAAGGGAGGATTTGGGAGCAAGTACTGAAGTGAGGGGCTGAGCTTTAGGACAAACAAATATCCTACTGAATCATAAACTGAGAACCAATCAAAATAGCAAGCGTAAAGGTAACATTCAGATTGTAAGGCTATAACTCCTTAAACACACCTCCTGTCCATGTTAAGATTATTCCTGGAGACAATAATGAGTATGTAGGAATTTGGGAGTAAGTATCCTCAGATCCTGGAGGGGGAGAAAAAGATGTAGGAAAGCCCACTGGCTACAGCTCAGCAGGAACTAAAGGCAGGTCTTGAGAATCAGATAGATATAGATCATTTCTCCTAATACAAGGACAAGAAAAGTTCATTCATTTGTCCACTATGCCCCTTATTCTGTGAATGGTTAAGACTTTCTAAAAGACCAGCCAGTGAGGCATAAGAAAACTCACAATGGAATGTGATCAATGCTTTGTTAGAATGAGTGCGTGTAGGAAGGGCACCTGACCACCAGAGAACGTTTCTCTGAAGAGGCAATGTTTGCGCAGCTGGTGTTAGATTAGGAAAGGAGTCAGGTAAGGCAAGTAGGGATTCAGCTACGGTACAAATATGTGAAAGTATAGCAAAATTATGGAGCTAAAATGCAGTGTGGGATAAGTTTTTTTTTTTAATTTGTGAGGTTGAATTCTAATCCTCCTTCCTCACCTGACGTCATCCACAGGAACAAGCAACTGATTGTATGCTTGTAGAGATGTCACTTTGTTACTCTCTGTCCAGGTTCTCTTATTGGCTAAATGGGCATAATGTCTGCCACACGTATCTAATAGAACTTTTTAAGGCTCAAGATCAAAACACATGTGAAACACCATAAACACGAAGCTATTTTTAAAAGGCTGCCTGATATCTAGATATAGATACACAGAGAACTGCAAAATAAAGTAGTTCAACATGGCTTTCATTATATCCTCCCCGCCAAAGACAGTGGATGAAGGGGAAATCTAAGGCAACCTGTTTCTAGGAATGTCCAAAATGAGGGTATAGAAGTCTTAGAATTACTCAGATGGCAGCTATTTGGCTATTTCTGCCCACTGAGGACTTGGAATACATCTGCACTCATATGTCTTATGATTCTTATTCCAAGTCCAATTTTCTCTTCAAGGTTTAGGTTAATTATTGCTTGGAACAGAGCAACATAGCAAAGCAAACCAATCTCGATGAAGAAATCAAAACAAGTTGTTGTTTACATAATTAACATCTTGTCTGCCTTGAAATTTACATAGGGTTTAATTACTTGCCAAGCACTTTCTCCTACAGTAATTCACTTATTCCCTGCATCCACCCTTTAAGGTAGTGAGGACAGGTGTCATTAGTCCCATTTTAAAGGTGAACACATCAGAACCTGCTTAAGTGACTTATGCAAGGTCAAACTGTGGTGAGGACTAAAACTCCTTTTTTTTATTAGAAATTCAAGGGTTACGGCCAGCATTCTATCTAAAGACTACCTAAATCCTGGAAGAAGCCACGTACCTGTCTAAATTGCCACATTCCTTTCTAAGCTCACTTAAATTTCTGCAGTCCTTTATTAGATAAGTAATTCACTTTAAAATAGTTAAAACGGATTTTTTTTTTGCAAACTTTTTTTTTTAAGGCTAATTTTTAAAAGAAGAGTATTTCATTTGTCTTGTGTTTCACCAACCCAACTTAATTTAACATACAGGTATAGAGAAAGAGACAGATTTGGATCTTGGCCAATACTTTGTACTGTATTATAAAAGCCGAAGAGAACAAGGGACCAAACATTTTATTCAGATCTGTCTATCATAGATCCAAAGTGGATAAGAATTTACATCCTTGTTGACATATTTATAACCATATTTTCTAAAACACTTAAGTGCCTTGGAAAGTAGAACTACTATAATAACAGCTTGGAAAGCTTTTATCTGAATCTTTTAGTCTCCTTATCCGTGCCCTGGGCAGATAAGGTCACTCTGGCATCTGGAATAGCCCTGCAGGGATGAAGGAGGGCAGACCTGGTGCCTCTCGTGGTGTCGAGATTTTGATCGTACGTGAGCAGATGACTCTCATTTTAGATTGTTCTTAAAAGAACCCACGGGCAAATAACTCGCAGAGTTAGACAAAGGTATTTGAAGCCAGGTTCGTGTAGGATGACTGTACAGACTCGCTCAGCTCCTGGCTGTGTCTGCACGTGTCCTTCACTCAGTATGTGGCTCGGCCCGAAGGGGAGTCAGTTCTGCTTGTGCAACTTAGGCTGTTTATACCTTTCTGTTCAACAAAAGGGTTGTTTGTTGTTTTACTCTGCCTGTTCATACAAGTCAAGGACAGGTATCTTCTCTAACTCATAAACCTAGCAGGAAAAAAAATGAAATTGCAATATCCAAAGGTAGCCATTGCTTTGCGATCTTGTGTTTTCATGTAACTCTGGGTTGCTTTTTTATTTATCAGATTGTGAAGTTCATTTCAAAAACATGTTTTTCTAGAAAGCAGCGATGTATTCAAAAGATACTGGTGCATCCCCCAGTCATATTTATGTTGTGTTTTTCTTCAAGTATTCAAGATATTTTGAACTATTAATAATGTCCATTAAAGAAATTTTAGAAATTTAAGTAGAAGAAAAAAATCACCCGACTCCTAGCATTCATGCCCAGTCAGGCTGACAGTGTATTTTATTTTATTTTATTTTAGGTACCAAATTACTTTGTTTGAAGGAATGGTACTAAGGAAAGAACATTAAGTAGATGTTTGGTACAACTTATAGAAAAGGTAAAGGTAACCTAAACATGCATGCACTGCCTTGGTGACCAGGGAGGTCACCCCTGAGGCTCCAGGAAGCCAGCCTAAGGCTTAGCTCTCATAATCACTGTTTCCCAGGGTGAGCTTGTCAAGGAGATACTCCGCCATGCCAGATTCGGGGGCCCCCATCTTGCGCAAGTTGGTTACAGGGTCACCCAGTTCTTTGATGGATTTCACCTGCTCGTTCAGGTAATGAGTCTCAAGGAAGTCACACGAGTGGGGGTCATTTTTGTCAGTGGCCAGTTTGTGCAATTCCAGTAGGGACTGATTCACAGTTTTTTCCAAGCGTAGCGCACATTCCATTGCATTCAGCCCATTCTCCCGGTCGTCATAGTCTGCTTTCTTGATATCCTGAAGGAAGATTCGGCCACCTCGTTGGTTTTGCAGCTTCATCAGTTTCCCCTCCTCGTGAGATTGGTGAAGAAAGTACTTGGCAAAGTTCTTCAAAGCCACATCATCACGGTCAAAGTAGTGTGACATGGGCAGGTAGACGTAGGAGGCGCACAGCTCCAGGTTGATCTGGCACTTGATGGCAGCCTCCGAGGCCTGGTGGCGGTGCTGGCGCACCTGC